CAAGTTACAAAAATCTAACTCAGATAATTAATATTAATGATTTTTCTTATTCCATAAGGATTGATAATGACATATATCGAAATCCTGATCTTATTCTAATTTGTTTTTTAGACTAATCCAGATTTTGATCAACTTCGTTTATTTGTATTTACTCAAGCACTTTTGATTGATCCTCTTAAATCTATAGGCAATTCAGTAGATCCTTTATCATGCAATGCTAAAACACTTTTTAGTCAACTATTTGATTATATTAAACGTAAGTTTTTAATTCAATGTTTTTTTATTTTTAAAAATAATCTATTTAGATGAAAATCTTGATAAATATAATATAATTCCATCACGTGAAAAACTTCAATCATCATCTGATCTTATATCATATCAAAATAATCAAGATTTTCAACAAGCACTTTCAGCTATCTATTCATCATTGTTAACTAAATAATTTCTTTTTTTTGTGTATAAAATAAAAACAAACAATAAAATAAAAGAATCTCTCTTTTCTTTGTGTATGTTCCTGAGAAATAAAAAATAAAATATATATTTGCTGGAATAGTCAATTATCATATTTAACACTTTTAAAATTTGTAAAAAATGCCGCTATTAAATCGCAAACAAGTGTTGTGGCACCAATCATACCAATATATGATCCAATACTTGTTGTTGATTGAAATAAATCAAATTTTCCCACTTCACCTGTAACTGTAACGATTATATGTAAATTATATATATGTTTATGTATACGATATAAGTGCCGAGCTCCTCGTGGAAAAAAATGATGTGATGTAAGAAAAGTTGAACCGAATTGATAAGGATGATCGGCATCTTCTGTATGATCCAAACGTCGAAATTCATAATTTGGTTTACAGTGTTTTTTATTTCTATCAAGATTACATTTCCAACTTATTTTTATTTCAATTAGTGAACCTAACTCAAACATTCGATTATATTCACTTGTATCGTTCACGATTAGTTGTAATATTGTTAATATACGAAATTTTGGACAGAAAGGATCAGTATGTGGATCATATTCACAGTCATCTAAATCACCTTTTGTAAACATATCTGGTTCAAAATTATTTCGAGTAAAATTAAATTGAGGAAATTCAACATAATGTTTAATAAATAATACATAATGAAGAGCTTGATAATTTCTCATTTCGGCTACAGGTGGTGATTTAAACCAACATAATTGTGGTTTTTCATCAACTGTTTTGTTTTCATATATGGGACGATAATATGGAGGTATAATACAACGAGGTAGTTCATCTTTATTACACTGATGGGGTGCTGTTGTATTACTTAATGGACCTTTATTCCGTCTTGTAGTATCATTGCATTCATAGAATACTGGTGTCTTCATGAATGGACTCTTTCTTCGTTTTTTTGATGGTATTGTTTTATTACAACATTTTTTTAATTCATGTTCAATTTCAATTATACGAGTTGTTATTGTAACAGCTGAATTTTCTGTTGCTGGTAAAATAAAATCATTTACATCATATGATGATTGATTAGAATTATAGTTTAGAAAATAATATTCCATTTTTGAAGTATCAGGATCAGTTTTTGGTGGTTTTACTTTAATTGTTACGGCTGATATAGGTGAGCGATCAAATTTTTGATATGAATCTCGGCTACACATTAAATATATACAACCAATAGCAAATGATAATTTAATAAATAAGGACAGACTTGCAATCCATTTCGATTCGAATCGTACCACTTTAGGAGCTTAAAAAAAATAAAGCATAGAAAATATTTATTATTGTTATTATTATTCTCATTTACTATTTATTAATATTAAGAATTTTTCCTATATAAGATTTAGATTAAAATAGATTCAAAATACATATTATTTTGATATATGTCTTCTTTATTCTTAAGATAACACTCTCAAACTAATAACTTTTTATACTACTACATATATATTTTCCGATGTTTTCTTTGGTTTCGATTTTCATATAAATACTTGATTATCATCTATTAGAAGGTTTCAATTTTCACATAAAATATGAATTCAAAGATATCTCAAAACTTATTTTACTAATATTAAATAATATGTCAATATACTTACTACCATGATGAGTAAAAATTTGTACAAGATGTTTGAATGTATACGATAGACGGTGTTGTATTGATGGTTGATCAGTTGTTATGATTATAGAAATTGAATCTGGATAGGGCCTCATGTCAATTGTTAAAGCCGTTTGTTTGTTTAATGAACAGCATGTTTCGTCGACATAGTCTTTATTATAAAAAGCAAAGAATCCAGAAAAAGACAAAAAGAAAAAGAATAACAGGAAGATGTGACATATTTAAATAAATTGGAATAAAAGCTATTTCCCGTCAGAACAAAAAAAATCCTTTTGATCTATAAATAAAGATATGCATTTACATACTTTGATTGTTCAATGCCTGTCAAGATCATGATGAGTATGAGTGAACTTTAATAATGTGTGACTTATTCATGTGTTATGAGAGGATAGAGAAAAAGAAATGAGATAGAGAGAGAGAGACACTTGATGCAGATAGATGCGAATGGAAAACAGCAGAACGATAATTGATCACGCGTCAACATAGAATAGAGATGCGTACAGAGAAAAATCGGAGCATTGCGCGGATCTTTCCACATAGTTTTTTTTCTTGCTCTTGTCAGTCTCCGTCTAACATGATGAGATGGGACGATGATCAATAAATACTAATTGATGATTATTATAGAGAAATACTAATCGACATCGGAAAGAACTGATTGAAAAAGCAAAGAATGCGACAAAAAAAAATATAGGGAAATACACTTTGATCGTATATAACAAAAAGAAATATTTCTTGCTCTATAGATAATTAATATTTTCAAATTTATGTTGTTAGACACATCAATAATAATATAAGAAGTATTAGAATAAGTGTTTACAGTATTTATTCATCGATTAAGCAGAGAGCAAAAAACATCTGAAGAAGAGTTATGATGTTATTATTATTATTATATCGTATAAGGTCAAAAGATATATGACAGTTGTTGATATTTATAAAGAAATATAAATAACCTGAAGAATATTTTAGATAGTATTATGAAAACATACAGATCTATGTCTTAATCTATTAATAGAAAAGATCAATTCAAATGATACTGAAAAATTGGAAAATTTGTTAATCATTATTTAGTCAAAATTATGTGATGTCTGCCTGCCTTTAACAAATATTAGTGATGAATTATTTCGTTCAAATAGTATATTATTATCACAAGTCGTATTTCGTATAAATGTTTGTATAATAAATAGATTTATTGTTACACATACATTTCCTTTGATAAATATATTTTAATTCTTAGTACCATCTATTGGAATATAAGTCTTGTTGTTTTTGATTTTAATGAAAAACAAAATTTAAAACTGAGTAAAAACATATAAATATTATAAAAAAAAGAACGATTAATGATATTATTCTGTTTTTTCAATCGGAATGCAAATCAATCGATTAAAAAAAACACACTTGACTAAAACGTATGTTTTTCATTTGTGATATTATACCAATAATCGGCAACAGATGTGTATCATTTGTATTAATAATATATTTGATCGATCCTTGATGTTGATTCTATAAGAAAAACATATGAAATAAGATATTCTTCTAAAATATTCAATCTACCTGGCATTCATCATGTATAATTACATTAGATAATTGATTAATATCATAATAAACATCATCAAGAGATATCAGTGTTATATTTCTTTGTAATTCTTGATTACATTCATATGTTACATTTTGTTCAATTTGATTATAAAGTATTCGTAAAAAACGTATTTGAGATATGGGTCCATAGTCGATATAGTTTATTTGTTTTTCTTGATTATTATTTGGTTGTAAACATGTTTTTTTTCTTCCACTTTCGATAATACAATTAACTTCAATTGAATCTGATGTACTACCATGATTTGGATCAATCCAATATTTTCCTTAAGAGTTATAAAATTAGTTTAGATAAGAAAAAGAGTTTTTTTTGTTTCTTGCCTATTCTTGATTGATTATGAAGATCAAGACATGATTGAAATGGATTATCACGTCGAAGACCCATTGGTGATGCAAGTTTATTCAATTCATTTGCCATATTATCAAGAACATGAATAAGTTGTATTCCAATGGGATTTATATGAATATTTTCTTCGAAATTTAATACTGAACGACGTAATCTTTGATTAGACCATTCATCTTTTTCAGATTGAGGTTCAAGTGAACCGAGCTCACTTGGTAAGAGAGTTTCACCAGGTGGACCCTAAAAGATAGAAGAACATATTTTATATGTTTTATTAATTATACATTCCAATATACCGGTGGACCAGCTGGACCCTAGAAAATAAAAATGTATAAGTTTAAATATTAGATTAATTGTAGAATTTTTATTATACATACTGTTGAACCTTTTTCTCCTTTGGTACCTCGTGGTCCATCAGTACCTATATAGAGAAAGAGTTATATGAAATTTAAAATAAAAATAACTTTACCTTTTGGACCTTGTACACCAACAACACCCTTAAGATTAAATACGTAATATTTATCATTTAAAATTCATGAATTTTATAAAGATTTTTACCGGTGATCCAGGTGGACCCATACTAAATAAGAAGATACGGAATATTTAATACAATATAATGATGTAGAAAATATTTATTCATTACCTTCCTGGTTGACCATTAGTTCCTGCAATTCCCTATAATGATATTTATATAAACAGATAAAACTACTATGTTAAAATTTATATTTACTTGTGGTCCTCTATCACCAGGCTCTCCCTGTCAAAAAAATTATAGAATTAAATGAGTATTTATTTGAAAAATAATATACCGGATCTCCACGTGGTCCTCGTTCACCTTTTGGACCTCTTTCACCTGAAATTAATGATAATCAAAATAAAAAGCAGATTATATATCAAAAAAATTTCCATACCGTTTGGTCCTGGTTGACCTGCATGGCCAGTTAGTCCTTTTGGTCCTCTTGGGCCGACTTCTCCTTCTAGAAATTTACGAAAAACAAAAATAACTCTATTTATGTCTTATTCAAATAGATAGAACTTACTTTGTCCTTGAATTCCTTGATCCCCCTAAAGAGAAATATTACACATTGTTTTATAAAATATCAAATCGATTAAATTATTCCCCTTTTCAACTGTTATCATACATTACTAGATTATATTTACAAAAAAAAATAGTCACTATATTAAGAATGTCAATGAACATTTTCTCCTTGACTGACTCAATATTAATAGATTAACTCGCAATCTATTTCTATAGAATAACTATGACCCATACACGATTAAAGATATGTGATTTGTTTCTATTAAAATAGAATATAAACTCACCTTAGGACCAGTATCTCCTTTTGGTCCTTCTTTTCCAATTGGACCAGTAACACCTTGTTCTCCTACAGGACCTTGCAATCCTATTGAACCTTTAATCCCTTGGGGTCCCTAAAATGGAATATTAAAAAGATATGATATTTCAAATTGTGATTCACTATTACTTACTTGCTTTCCTTCAGGACCTATTGGTCCTACTGGTCCTTGTAATCCTTGATTACCTTTTTCTCCTAAAATGAATCTAGTTTTCATTAATGTAAAAAAATTTGATTGAACTAACCTTGGTCACCTTTCGGACCAATGTCACCTACCTAAAGAAAAAGAGTATATTCTTATTTTATTATTTAAAATTTCAGTAAATTTACTTCGCCAGTATCTCCTTTTTCACCAGTTTGTCCAATAGGACCTTGCTTGCCTTCGATACCTTTTTCTCCCTAGAAATTAAATTAAATTATATCATTACTAAACTATATTAAGATCGTCAATGTTTACTTTTTCACCTTGAATTCCGACATGACCTTTTTCTCCTTGAATACCTTGGTCACCTTTTGGTCCTGTCAAACCAATAGGTCCTACTGGGCCGATGATACCAATGGGACCCTAATGAGAAAAACAAATAGATAACAATGATAAATATAACTTTCTTTTTCTATGATACTTTCATAATGTACTTACTATATCGCCTTTTTGTCCTTGTAATCCTATAACTCCAGTGTCTCCTTTATCTATAAATGATATAAATAGATCACTTGTATTAAGAAATCTAATAAGATAGTACCTCCTTTTGGTCCAATAGGTCCCAAATCTCCTTTTTCGCCAATATCACCTTTTATTCCCTAAGTTTTAATTAAATACAAACATGTACATAGTCAGATATCGAACACACGTACTTGTGGTCCGATTTCACCTTGAATTCCTTTCGGTCCAATATCACCTTTATCGCCTTTATAAAAATTAAATTTTTTATTTATATGTAAATATCAGGCAAAAAGAATAGTCTTTACCTTTTTCGCCTTGAGGTCCATCTACTCCAATTGGACCAACTGGACCTTGGTGGCCCTACAAATAAAAAGATATTTATTCAATAATATTTTTATGAAGAATATATCACCTTTTCTCCATCTATTCCTATAGGACCAACAATACCTTGTTCACCTTGTGGACCCTATTTCAAGAAAAGTATACTGATATTCTTCTAAAATATTTTTAATAAATTACTTGATTGCCTTTTTCACCTCGATCTCCTAAATAATCGATTGTATATTCAATAATAATATTTTTATTAGTACAATGTAGCATACTAACCTTTTTCTCCGACGGGTCCAATTATACCTTGATCACCTTTATCACCAGTCACTCCAATTGGACCTTGTCGTCCCTTTTTAATATATTTATTTGTATTAAATACGATTAATTATAGGAAAACTTACTTCTGGACCTTGAGGTCCAATAATTCCTTTATCTCCTTTTTCTCCTGAAAATTAGAATCAGAAAAAACTTCTAAAACATATCATAACATCATCAAAAATTTTACCTTGATCACCTTTCGGTCCAATAGGACCTGTTATACCTTGAATACCTTGCGGACCTATAATTCCTTGAGGACCCTATAAATACCAAAAACATAACAATAAATATCTGCTTTCAATGTTGTAATAATGATTTATATACTTGTTTTCCTTTATCGCCACGATCTCCTTTTTCACCTTTGTCACCTTGAATACCAGTGTTACCTTTTGGACCTGTCAATCCAATAGGACCAGTAAGACCAATTAGGCCCTAAGAAAAAAGAATTCAAATAATAATAGTATTTCACATCAATTACATAACATGAATTAAAACCTGTATTCCTTGCATTCCTTTAATTCCCATATCACCCGTAAGACCCATATCCCCCTATAAGAATTAAGTAAAAAACATATTTTCATGAAAAACTAATGTTTAAAATACAAATAACCTTATCGCCTTTTAGACCTTGAACACCTGTAAAACCAATTGGACCAACATCACCTACAATACCTTGTAGTCTATATAATTTGAAAAATAAATATAATGTATGTATCATTAAAGAATTGAGTAAATACCCTTCTGGTCCAATATCACCTTTACTTCCTTTGTTACCAGTTATACCGATTGTACCTTTCGGACCTTGTTTACCTTTCCCACCTCTCTCACCTCTGGAAACAAAGATTGAATTTTATTAGAGTTTTTGAAGATTATGCATACACGCAAACCTTTCACCCGTCAATCCACGTTCACCAGTAATACCTCTAGGTCCCTATAATCGAATTTTTAAGAGAAAAATAAGTAGAAAATTAAGATAATTAATAAAATGATAATTTACCATTGGACCAATGACGCCTTGATTTCCTCTTTAAAATATAATTATGTTTTGATTTATTTATAGGCAAAGAAATATTTCTGCTCACTTAGGTCCTCTCTATAAATAAAATATAGAAATAAAATAAGTAGTGAGAAAACAAGTGATACGTACTGTTCCAATTGCACCTTTCTGACCTATAGCACCTTGCGATCCTTGTGGACCAACAGGACCCTTAAATAAAAATCAATGATTTATAATATTTCATTCATAATCAAGTAAAAACGAATGAATATTACTTGTAATCCTCGAATGCCTTGTTTTCCTTTTCGTCCAATGACTCCTTGTATACCTTGTGGACCTATCAAAGAATAATATTGAACAGATAAACATTTTAAAACAAAATTTATTACCAACCAGTAAATCCAATTGGACCAATACGACCACGCCATCCAGTGGGTCCCTAAGAAAAATATCAAGTTAACAATCTATGAACAAATAATTAATAATCAATATACTTTTTCGCCTCGGTTGCCTTTATCACCCTTCACGCCTTGAGGACCTTGTATACCCTAAAACAAAAATTATAGCACATTCTTTGCAATTTCTATATACAAACCTTTTGACCTGTTAAACCAGTTCGACCTATGTTTCCTTTTGGACCAATCAAACCTCGTGGACCCGTTTCTCCTATTTCACATATAAAAACATCAATTTCTATGATTAAATATTGACTTTTACCTTGAGGTCCTTGTGGTCCCATTTCACCTTTGTTACCCTTAATAATAAAAATAAAATGTCTAAAATAATGTCAATTAATACGTACCTTAAGACCAATAGGGCCAATAGGTCCTCTATAATTTAATAATTAATATCCCGTTATAGAAATTAGTATACCTTACCGATCACCAACAGGTCCTCTTTCACCCTAAAAATAAACTAGTATATTTTGTGATATTCATAAAATAATTTACCTGATCTCCTTTATCACCTTGAAATCCTGGAAGACCACGTGGTCCCTTTAAAGATCATAGATTAGAAGGGAGATACGAGACAAATATTTACTTACTCGCTCGCCCTTTTCACCATCAGAACCTTGATAACCCTCTAAAAAGTTACATTAACTAAAAATTTAAAGAAAAACTATTCAATTAATTTTTATTTTTACTAACGGAATCCATTTGGTCCACGTGGTCCCTGCAAATATCATCATTCAATGAATAATTATTAGTAAATAAGAATCAAACCTGTGGTCCTGGTGGTCCTGGAGGTCCGATTGGACCAGGTACACCTCTAGGTCCAATTGATCCAACTAAATAATTAAATTAGAATTGTAAACAATAATATCGAAAATGAATGAGCAAAACTTACTTTCGCCACGTTCACCTTTAAAACCTCTCAAACCTCGTGGTCCCTGTAAATAACATCAATAAAATATATATACTATAACATCTCTGTATACCATAGCACCAGGTAAACCTGGTCGTCCTGGAGCACCTGGATGACCTGTCAGGATGTGCTATTTAAATAACCAAATATTGAGGATTCATATCCTTTGTTTTAACCTTCTTACTTACTGCATAAGCATTAACCATTCCTTCGATTGCATGCATAAATGCTTGAGGATTACGTTCATCATGAATAGGTGCCTAACATAATAAATGGCATAGATCAAAAATCAATTATAAAGAAACCAATATTAAATACATACTGGAATAACAATAATATGACCTGGAGCTCCTGGTGGACCAGCTGGGCCATCCATACCAGGTCTGCCTGGTTTTCCAGTTTCTCCTGGTATTCCTATATCGAATTGTCCTATTGCATTTTCATTTAGAATATCCTATAATATTCAAGATTAAAATTGATCATTTGAAAAATATATAAATTACCGAAGAAGATATCGATCGAGTTGAATGGACTTTGAGAGTTTGTATTCGATTTAGATCTTGATCTTTTAAGACTTTATGTACTGTACTATTGCCATTATCATATAAATCCCAATCAATGATAAGAATATCTTTAATATCACCCTAAAATAATCAATCATAAGAGTAATTTAGTATCTATGAAAACATATAAAAATATTGATTAAAAACAATATTTTAATAATTTTAATATTAACATTTAATAAAACAAATTCTATATTCCAGTGCATAATTTTCTAATGATTCTGAATCATATCAGAACCTATTTTCATCCTTTAATCTTCTTTGAAACCTTAAAATAATGAAATATTTTTTTTTTGTATAACGAATTCCTTTAGAATCTCATTTATTTTAAGATGAAAACATGTAAACAATGTTGATTATATTTTTCTTCGCGTGATTATTTCTCATTGTTTTTATTATTATAAACAAGAAAAAAAAAGTATGGAAAAATATTATATTTTATGTAAGAACCATCTGGAACAATACTAAATGTAGTTTAAAATATCAAAATCATATTTATTTTACTACAATATACATTAATCGAAATTTTCTATCTTATTAAGTTTTATCAATCAACAATTTTACCTGAAAAAATGAATCCTTTTGATATTCTTCATGATCATTTGCACTCAGAAAAAGAACATTTGTTATATTAAAATTTCGTGTTAATCGATTTAAGTTCAATGGTAATTCAATATCATCATTTGTTTGATTATCAAATCGAAGTATAACTGATTTAAATCCAAATACAAAAATAATTTGATGCCATCTAAAATAAATTTGTTGTCTAATAGAAAAAACAAGATTTGTACTTACAGTCCATCATTAGGTACAAATGTTTTATGATGAAAAATAAGTTGTTCTATATTTTCTTTATAATGATAGATGACAGTAATATTTGTATTGATTTTTATCTCAAATATAGATAATGTATTATTGTCTAACAAAGAAAACAATGTTCCTGATGAATCTTTAACAGAACGAAATGTTATTAGAAGAATAAATGTATCAGGTAAAGTAGATTCTATAGAAAAAGAAATAGATTTTAGGAAATGATAGTTATGTTTTATACGAGAAATTTTTGAATTTGAATTGATATGAAGAAGAGTTGTTTTTTGCTGATTCGGAGAGAATGGTGTTCGAACAGCAAGATTTGTTTGATTCGTAGTATTCGTTTCAACAATATCGAGTGTGGATAAAAGATCTTCAGTAAGTGTTGAATTTGATGTATCATTTACTGGTATCCAACCATGATCAATCAATTGTGGAATATTAATTAAATTCAAAATAACTTTATGGGAAAAAATAATAAATAAAACAGAAATCATAAAATAAAAAAACTACCTGAAAAATTTCTATTATATCGACTTAAAATTTCTGTTTGCAATGTTAACTGAATAAAATTAAACCATATAAAAAATAATTTCATCATATAACTGTATCAGAAGTCATGCATCAATATAAGAATGATAAATAAATAACTGAATCGACAGAGAAATATTACAGTTATTGATTGATTTTACAACTGGTTATGTTTGTAGGCGTGTTATAAGAATAGAAAAGATATTAATAACAGTCAGTATATATGGTGGCCACAATTGAAAGACATAAGAAAAAAACACAAAAGATGTTATATGGATATGTACTTATCAGTTTGCAGACGCCTGTTGACTTAATCATTGTCTGTCATAGCCAAGGGCATAGATTTTGTCATATGTTTATGGATAATTACACTTTCTTTTCTCGAAAGATTCTATATAAATGATAATATAAATCTATTACATATTCGATTTAACTAAATCAATAATAAACGAAAAGATTTTAGTAATTAAAAAATCCAGTATAGAATATTTATCTCATTTCGAATGATTTTTAAACAAATCTTTTAGTCTGTTTGTTATCTTTTCCAGGCTTACATTTAAAATCTTTATATGTAAATGAACACAAATTATTTTTTCATCCATTAATTATTGTCAAGGTCATAATTCTGAATAGTTTATATTATTGGTGCCATATCTCTATTCAAATCATTGACTGACTGTTGCTTTTCTATTATTTCCATTTGTCCTCTCATAACAAAAGTATTTATTATTTTGCAAATTTTTTACACAATCATGCATCTATATATAATGAGTACTTGTTCATATTTTGTTATTCATTCAAGAAGAAAAAGTGCGCACCACACGAACTGATTGTTTTGTTTAAAAATAACTGTTAATTACACGTACGTAAAAGAACATTTGTAATTGTTACGAGTGGTTTACTTTTAAAGTAATTTATTGTATTGTATTTTTTTTTAATTATGTTTGAAGAACTTTCGAGTATTCATTCAATCCGTAATCTACATTTTTAATACAAATGAATTGATCTGTCAGCTCAACACACATCACGTGTATTTAACATAATCACAAACAAAGAAAACAAAAAATGCAAACAGGAAGAAAAAGAAAAGAAACAAAAACACACCGAGATATGGTGTTCAACCGGGTTTAATACATAAAAACATCAACATACGTCAACAGATTTTGTTTTTTTTCTGAAGAATATTACACAGCATATGAGAAAAAGAAAACAAAGCAAGATGGGTATTTTTTTCTGTGGTCCTTCATCCGTTCAATAACGAACGTATCATAATAATAGAGTTTTCTACAATAATTATTGAGCATCAAAAAAAGTGATACTTTTCATGTGAGCAAATAAACGAATACTGTTGTAAAATTTCATTTGTAAATTAAGTTTTGACAAGAAAAATAAATTATTTGTTTCTTTTTATATTATATAATATCTATCTATGGCACGTTGAATACAGGAAATATACATTTTAATTGAGCATTAACATGATGGATTATCCATTTTGACAATGCAAATTAGTTGATAATTGCATTATAATTAATTCCGAATAAGTACGCTAGTAATATTGTATAGGTGGAGTTGCCGGTGAACGTTTGCCAGTTAGTGTTGAAGTAAATAATAATGGTGATGCGTTCGAACGATAATTCATATGACCTAGAACAACACGAGATGTTATTTACATTTAAATTAAATAAAATATTATTCGATATAATAGATTTTTGCAATACGAAATATCTCAATGTGTACTTATTGACCCTCTATGGTTTATATTGAGAAAAGAATTTGCATGAAGCTCTATTATTCCTTTTCTTACTATTTAAATTATTCATATTTTGTGTTTGATCACCAGTCACTTGTTTTTGATTATAATTATTAGATGTTTGATAATTAATTTGATTATTTACTACTGATGGTGGTGTCACTGACATTGTATTATTATTATTATTAGTTGTTGTTGTTAAATTTGGACTAAAATTCGGTGTACGAGATGATAAATTATTCATATCAGTATTCATTGATAAAAGTCCATTATTTATATCAAATGCATCTTGTGCATCAAGCATTTCTAATAAAAGATCAGCTTGAGGTAATAAATCATTTGCACGCATATCTAAAAACAATCGTATTAATTTTAGACTTAATGTTTTAATATGTGGCAGTTGTAATAATAATGTAAAATGACGAATATAATTATCATGATAAACACTTGGATTTGAATCACATGTATATTGTATTGCTTGATAGATTTGATTTGTTAATAAACGAAATGATTTTGTTGTTGTTGTTATTGATGCTGGAATTGAATTAATAAGTATTGTAGCTTTAAGTGCAATGAATTCTTCATGTGTTGTACGAGGATCTTTAAATGCTTGAAGTATAGTAAATAGACTTGTACAAATTGCACCTAGACCTGGACTTGATAAATCACGATTTCTAAATTAAAAATCAATGTATATATATATGACATAAAATCAATTTATGTTTATTACCGTGAAATAATAAAATCAGGTGCAAAATGTAATGTATCATCATTACGTTCTAATGATCGTTCAATGATATCAAGAATTAAAGTATCTAACCAACTTTGCTCAATTATTGTTACTTGTTGATCGAGACTTAAACTTTCAGTATAACCTAATAATTAACAATAATAAAAAACTAAGTTTTTTTGTATTAAAATAAATACCTGGCATTGCTTTCGCCCAATTAATAAGAACGACAAGTTCTTGATCAAAAATTTTTGCAAGTAATTGAAGAAAATATTGATCATTTAATGGACGGCTAGTATCTGCTTTAGCAGGTAAATTCAGACGAGATGCTTGTGATAGTGTAGCAATAAATTCCGCAGACGATATAGGAATACGTGTCGGATCAGAAGAATTCTAAATATGGAAGAAAACAAAAATGTTTTTTTTAAAAAAATATTTTTTTAATAATACTTTATTTAATTGTAATTGTGGTGATGAATAACTATTATGAGTTAATTGTACTGTTGATGGTGTTCCGGCTGGTGTAGTTGGGGTTAAATTAGTTGCTATAGATAGTCCTTGTTCTTGATTATTTTTATTAGAATTATTATTAACATTGGAATTTGATGACGTTGATGTTATTTTACATACTGATACAGCTTTTTTTCGATATTTTCTTTCTCGTCTGGTTGTACCTTTGGTCATACCAACTTCATAACATCGTCTTAAACGACATGCTTGACAACTTTTTCGACGATGTTTATCTATTGTACATGTATTTGTTGCTGGACATATATATTCATTTGTGCCTTGTATACTTCGTTTAAAAAATGCTTTACATCCTAAATAAAAAAAATAGTTTTTAGCAAAGCAAATCAATGAATTAATAGATTTACCTTCACAACTCCATACACCGTAATGATAACCAGAAGCAATATCATGACAAACCGCCTAAAGTGAATTAAGATTTACATTGATATATACATAATTATTTCTTTGTTTATACATACACAACGACGTTTATCTTCTTGTCCTGCTTGTGCTAAAAAATAATAATAAAAACAAATAGATCAAGTTTTTTTTTGTAATTGTAATATTAAAATCATTTATTCTCTAGAGAATATTTCTTAACAATAATCAAATAGTGTGTTTTTGAAGGAGCTTACCCATAATAATAATAATAATCGATTAACGGTGGGGAAGAAAAAGGTTTTTTTTTCTTCTTTCTTTTCGTTACAGTAATTATAAAAGGTCAATGTGACTTTTAAAATCTGATTTAATACAGCGAACTGCACTTATAACATTAATAAACTGTAGAAGTGCTATAGAGTAATACTATAAATATGAAGTGATCGTATCAGTATAACTGACAGAAAAACACAGTATCATATCCACCAAAGCCTTAAATCAATCGAGCGTATAATACATTAAAAAAACAACGCAATAGATTCGTTATTTTTTCTTAAACTACTATTCTGTTTCTTTTTTTTTATATCTACCAACCTCCATCAGTTGCTGATGGTGGGACTAAACTAGATGTTGAAGAAGTTTCTGCTCGATTATTTGATATTGGTGATATTTGTTCATTATCAGGTGATGGTGTTGAACATTGATGTTGATGTTGATGTTGTTGATGATGATGAGAATGATGGTTATTATTATTATTAAAAAATCCGTTTGTAAGCGGATGATATGGTGGTGGACTAAATGGTTGTTGTTTAACTATTGTTGATGTTTGATTAGTTGAAGATGTTAATCGATGATTAAAATTTGTTAGCGTATTTCCTACAGCCGACATAGTCATTATATCTAATTGTTGAACATTATTTTTGTTGTTGAATAAAAAATAAGAGTATAATCTAAGGTCAAAATATATTTGTATGATGCAAGTCGATAATAGTAGAGCGCAAAAAAAAACTTGGGACAGTATAAAAAAAAAGGAGAAAAAAACATGAAGCTAAAGAATCGTCTATTATGTTGAATATTTTTCTTTCTATTCTCTCATCGTGTCATAGACTGTTCTCATGTTTTTTCTATTTGCCCTTCTTACAAATCAAATTTCTATAAGCAGGATAGTAAAAAAAAAAAAATTCAAAGTTTTCTTTAAAATATAGAAGAAAAAGAATGAGGTTTTTTTTTTTCTTTTGTTCATGTTTATGTCTTCTTTTCTTTTTATAAATAAACTATCTCTTCTCATATGAACAAAAACAATAATAAAGATATTCTTTTTCTTTCCTTTATAGTCTATGAGGTCAGGGGCTACATGACCTCTGATGAAATAGGACGAATGAACACATATGTCTATGTACTTTTCTTCTGTATAGTTCAATCAATAGTTCATGTATTGATACAAAATGCACTTAAAACACGTTTTTTTTCTCTCTCGAGCACATTCACTTATTGTTTGTATGCATAACAAGAGAAAGAAAAACAAGACAGTCACTATCAGCAAAAAAAAAAGGCTGGATGTTGTTGATGACGATGCTCATTGCATCGACGATTGAGTGTCAAGATGACGACGAAAAAAAAAACGCAGAAAGGGTTGTGTGAGCGTATAAGCACAAGTAACACATAGCTATTATTAAGAATGTAAAGAAGGACGACGACA